GCCATCGAGTCGGCCCCGACTCATAGCGACCCCTCCTTGGGTTTCCGAGGCAGTATCACTACGGAAGTAGGAATGCCCAACCTTCCTTCCGAGGAATGGCTGGTGGGTTTGAACCACCAGCCTTCTGGTTAGCAGTCAAGTGCCTTAGGCACTATGCTAATAACATAAAGAAAACAAAAATCCTCAGAACTGGACCAATAAGCAACATCATGAAAAACGGAGAAAAGATTGAAGTTGCCAAGAATTTCATTTTGCTTCGATCTACAATCAATGCCCACGGAAGCAGGAATCAAGAAATCAGACGTCATATTGCACTGGGAAATAACCTGCTGTAATAAACCTCTATAAAGTGTTAAAAAGCAAAGATGCCACTGTGAAGATTAAGGTGCACTTGGCCTTTTCAATCACCTCAGATCCAGGGGAAACCTGGATAATGAATAAGGAAAACTGAAGAAGAACTGATGCCTTTGAATGATGGTGTTGGCAAAGACTATTGACTATCCCACGGACTGCCAGAAGAATGAGGAAATCTGTCTCGGAAGAAGTACAACCAGAATGTTCCCAGAAAAGAGAATGGCGAGACTTCGGCTTTGCATTGGCATGTGATCAGGAGGGACCAGTAATGCTTGGTAACGTGCAGGATCAGTGATAAAGGGGAAGACCCGCAACGAGATGGACTGACACAGTGACTGTGAGGCCGGCGCAGGACTGGGCAGTGTTTCGTTCTGTTGTCCAGAGGAGTCGGTAGCAGCCAGAACAGACTCCAGGGCACCTGCAACAACCAGCAGGGAGACCGCGTGCGCGGTGAGGAGGTCTGTGGAGCAGGGCCCGCCCCGCCCCTTTTCGCCCGCCCCCTCTAGCTCCTCCCCCTCTAACCCCGCAGCTGCTTGCCCCAAACCTCCTGGGTCTTCCGGTCCTGCCTGCAGCGGGCGGCGGCCGGCGGGCGGTGGGAACCGGCAGAGGTCGACCACGCCCTCTTTCCACTCGAAGTGTGAGGGCCTGGGTCGCACAGCCAACCATTGAAGTGGAGCGGCCCTGAGTGGCATTAGCTTTGTCCAATCATCTGCGGGTCTGGAGGGAAGGACTGCACCCGAGCCAATGGCAGCGCGGGGCGGAGCTCGGGCGGGAGCGGAGGTCATCTGATCACGGCGGCGGCGGCAGCGGCAGTTGGGGCAGTACAGGCTGAGGCTATGATGGCGGCGGCGGTAGTTTGGGTGCGGGCGGGGCCGCGGCGGGCCCCGGCGCTCTGGCAGATGCGGTGGCTGTCGCTGTTGTTGGCAGCGACGGTGGCAGCGGAGCAGCAGGTGCCGCTGGTGCTGTGGTCGAGTGACCGGTGAGCGGGGTGGGCCAGGGCCGGCTCCAGGGGTTGCAGGGCCTGCGGTCAGACCAGGGCGCGCTCACCCGTCTGGCCTCGGCGCGGGGAGGCGAGGCCCAGGGGCACTGTCCCTTGTAGGAGAGCCGCAGCGAGTCCCGCAGCCTTTGAGCTCCTGCCCTGCTGGCCGAGCTCCAGGCCCCATGCGCGACCTGGGAGCTGAGCGCCTATGGACTTCAGCTCTTAAGCCAGGCACACTCTCTTCCGTGACAGGGACCTGTGGGCTCCTGCGGCTGACACTCACGAGGGTCACATCACCAGCGACATGCAGCTCTCTACCTACTTGGACCCCGCCCTGGAGCTGGGCCCCCGGAACGTGCTGCTGTTCCTGCAGGACAAGGTTTGCCACCCAGGCCCCCTGCCCGCTTCTGCCCATTCCCCACGGGAAGCTTCTGACCTTGTCCCGACTGGGGAGGGAGGGGTGGTGCACCTGTGTGGAAGGCCTGTAGGACAAGCTTCTGTGGGGAAGGTGGGGGCAGCTGACACTGCCCTGATTGGGAAAGAGAAGGGCCACATGCGTACTCAGTAGCAAGAGCTTCCCTGGGCCGCCCTACCCGCTCCATGCTTGGGATCCCCGTCCCAGTTAGACACATACGAAGACTGATGCTCATGGGGGTGGGCAAGTGGCTTGCCCAAGGTCACACAGCTAAATGGGTGGCAGAGTCAGGAGCGTCACTGAAATGATGATAATAGGGACGCTTCCTGGGCACTGTGTGAAGTTGATCTTGAAGTCAGGATCGTGATGTCATTGCCAAGGAGTGCAGGGGCAGTGATTGCTCAAGTCACCAGAGTTGGTTCCAGCCTGAGAACACTGGACCTCAGCAGTCTGTGCTCGTAGTGAGCAGTTGTCTCTTGCAGGCCCCCTGGCCTCCACGTGGGCACAGACCTAGGATTAGTGGCTAGGAGCCTGGCCTTCACCTTTCCTTGTCTTTGGAGCTCTTTTCCCTTGCGGGCTCGTGCTGGTGTCCAGTGGGTAGCTGATGGTGGGCATGCTGACCCAGTCTCCTCAGGTGCAGTACACAGTGCAGTCAGACTTGAGGTCGGGCTCGTCCAACCACTTAGCAGCCTTTGCACAGACATAGTTATCTTTGTGAACTCAAGACCCCACCTACACTAAACGGTTCTGAGGAGTAATCTTATAAACCACGTGCAACGTCTGGCAGGGGTCTCTTGTCTTCTGCTCTCTGGTCTTCCTTTCATTCATTGATTCCTGTGCCAAGGTGGAGTGCCTGCTGTGGACTGGATGTTGGTAAGTGTTTGGGATATACCTACTACCATCCAGCCAATTAGGACTCACAGCGCCCCTCGAGGATGGAGTAGAACTGCCCCAGAGGGTCTGCAAGGCTGTCAGTCTTTACGGAAGCAGACTGCCTCATCTTTCTCTCTCAGAACAGCTCGTGGGCTTGAAGGACTGACCTTGTGGGTAGCAGCTGAATGCTTTAACCACTGTGCTGTCCGAGCTCCTTTTTGGGGATATAGCAGTGAGCAAAATAAGCCAACCTCTACCATCAGGAAGCTGATACTCTTCGTGGGGGTTGGCGACCGGTAGTTGTGCAGTGGGTATACGATACAGTGTCAGGGCCACATTCTTTACAGGGGCAGGAGGCTGGCTGAGTGGACCTAGTGACGGAGGATGCGGTTCCACATCAAGGTGGTCAGCCAGGGCGTCTCTGAGGCAGCCGCGTGGTTGTGAGGGAAGGGCCCCGCAGGCAGAGGGAACAGCAGGCACAAAGGCTGAGGGCCGGGAGTGCTCCAGGTGAGCACTGCCAAGAGCCGTTGTGGCTGGAGTGCAGTGGGCGGGGGTAGGAGCCAGGAGACGGCTGCGGAAGGTTGGCTGGCATCCTCAGTGCTGTGGGCAGGAAGCCCTTGCCGGTTTCTGGGGGAAGTTGCCTGATGTCTTGATGAAGGGAAGCACAAGAGACGCTGCCCCAGGCCGGTTCTCTGGTGCTTCCGAAGGAGAGTCTAGGCCCCCAGAGGTTAGCTTGCTGCCTGAGGGCGGGGAGGCTGGGCAGGTGTGTGTACTAAACAGAAGGCAGTTGGGGAAGCTGAGTAAGACCTCTTGGCTGGAGGAAGCCGGCCTGGGCTGGGCTGGGTGGGCTTTGAAGGACATCGGCAGGTTGTGGAGGCCGCAGCTCGGCCCCGGGGTGCTGGGGCCTGGGGAGCGGCCGCTCGCATGTTGGAGAGTACCACCTCCCGTACAGGTGGGGCAGGGAGCTGGCAGGCCCTTTGGAAAAGGTCCCAGTGCAGCCGGCACCTGGGGCCTCTCCGACCCCATAGCCAGGCCTTCTGTGGAGCCCTTTCAGCAGGGTGCTTGGCGCCCCTCCCTGGCCCCTCCCCAGCTTCCTTCTTCCCTACCAAGTTCCTCTTGTGCCTCTTCGAGAGAGGTGGCTGACTCTGACTGGTGACCACCAGCCTGCTGTCAGCACAGATTTCCCCCAACCCCGTGACTGACCGGGCGAGCGCCTGAGTGTGCTGGGGGAGGAGAACCTCCCCCCCCCCTCTGCTCTTGCTACCGGCCCCAGGCCTCCTCTGAACGAGGGCTGACGGGCCTGGCCCTGGCTGCCCTGGCCTCAGGAGGCTGTCTTGCCCTGCTTCCCCCTAGCTGAGCCTTGAGGACTTCACCGCCTACGGTGGGGTGTTTGGCAACAAGCAGGACAGCGCCTTTTCGAACCTGGAGGTAGGAGCCCTGGGTGTGGGGCCCAGCACTGTGCACCCTGCCCCCAGCACCATACGAACTCTGCCATTAAGAACGAGACTCTGGCTCTGGGATCCACTGGCCGGGGTCCTGAGTGTTGGGTGGGATGTGGGGTGGGTTTAAGACCCCTGAGGGGCTGGGCCTTGCCCAAGGAGAACTGCTGGAGAGGCGGTGAACCTCGACCTTGAGCAGCCACTGGTCTCCCACTAACGGTGCCTTCTGTCCTCTCACCCCCAGAATGCCCTGACCCTGGCCCCCTCCTCGCTGGTGCTCCCCGCGGTTGACCGGTATGCCGTCAGCACCCTGAGCACGTACCTGCAGGAGAAGCTTGGGGCCAGTCCCCTGCACGTGGACCTGGCCACACTGCGGGAGCTGAAGCTCAATGCCAGCCTCCCAGCCTTGCTGCTCATCAGGCTGCCCTACACGGCCAGGTACGGGCCAGTAGACCCTGTGGGGCCAGAGAGCAGGGCGGTGCCGTGCGACCCGAGGAGCCAGGCCTTCTGTGGAGCCCTTCCAGAACATGCCTGTGTGGTCAGAGGAGTGAGGGGTTGTGGTGGGGGCACGGAGCCTGGCTCCTGTGAGGGTTTCGGTGAGCCCCTGGTGGGGGTGGGGCATGCGGGCTCAGGGAGCAGGGAGAGAGAGGGAAGCATGGTGAGCCAGCACTCGCAAGCCTTGACCTGGAGTGCAGGCTGCTGACTGGTGGGAGGCCGGAGGGGTGGAGGGGTGGCAGGCGTGGGGTGGGGGTTTACACTTGAGGGCCAGGGCTGCCTCCAGGAGGGCACTGACGCTCCGTCTCTTTGATAGCTCTGGCCTGATGGCTCCTAGGGAAGTCCTCACAGGCAATGGTAAGTGGCATCGGGGACATGCTCCCTTACCTGATCTTACCCCCCATCCTCATCCACCTTTGTGACGTAGCTGGGGCCTTGACCCCAAAGAGCCTGTGGACTCCTTGGCCTCCTCCATGAAGTGGCCATCACAGAGCCAATGAGCTGGCCAAGCAGCCAGGGCTCTGTGTGACGTGGTGGCACGGTGCTGGGGGCCTTGTGCGGGAATCTACCCAAGTAAATCCAAGGCTTTGGGATGTGATAGACCAGCGGCATGTCCAAACCCAATGTGGGGAACTTGGCTTTTGCCACGAAGGCCGGCTCTCCCCGAGGAGAGGTGGTCGGGCCGACCGTGGCGGCTCCGTAGGGCTTCCAGTGGCTGGTGTTTGGAGGGTTGCCAGGTCTTTCCTCTGAGGTGCCTCTGGGTAGACGCGACCTGCCGGCCTTTTGGTTAGCAGCAAGTGCTTATTCATTTGCACACCCCAGGGATTGTGTGGGGACCTCACATGGATGGAGGTGGGGCTACTTGTGGCCATCTCTCTATGCATCTGCAGCCCAAACCTTATCCGTAGTGCTGTGTCCACGTCCGCGTTTCCAGACCCACGCCCATCTCTCTTTCCCTCTTCGTGTCCCTCATCTTTGTATTTTCTCATTTCTCTTTGTCCCAGCTTGTCATTGGGGAATCGGTGACTAAGGCTCCTGGGCGGCTGGCTGGGGGCGGGATAAGAGGCAGCCGCTGGGAGGCCAGCTTGTTGCTAGCCAGGACAGACGTCAGGCGAAGGCTGATGGGGCCCGTTCTTGGCAGGGGTTTCAGAATAAGCTAGTTGTGGCAGGGGCTTCACAGCGGGGACGTTGGCTAGGCCCATTGAGGCAAGTGCTCTAGCTGCGTGTCATCAGCACGTGACGCAGCTCGGTGCTCTCTCACTCAGACGAGGTCATCGGACAGGTGCTGAGCACCCTTGCGTCGGAGGACGTCCCGTACACGGCAGCCCTCACAGCAGTCCGCCCTTCCAGGGTACGTGCGGGCTATGGGCTGGGGAGCACTGGGGTCAGCGGTGAACTGCGGTTGTTTATATGAAAACGGGCCAAGCGCTTCCTGAGGTTGAGAAGTTAGGGGTGCCACACAGGCTGGCGGCTGCCTGGGGAGGGCTTCTTGCAGGAAGGACTTTGCGTCTGGCCCGTGGGTGTTCATGTGGCAAAGAGGATTGCCCTGGGGGGTAGGCAGCGTAGGGCAAGTGCTTTGGAGCTTGGGTCCTGGGTGCTGGTGAGAAGGCTTACTGGCTGTTTCCACAGGTGGCCCGGGATGCAGCCATGGTGTCTGGGGGGCTAGGTCGGCAGCTTCTAGAAAAAACAACGCCGGCAGCCGTGCCTCACCCCCCTGTGAGCTACAATGACACGGCCCCCCGGATCCTGCTCTGGGCCCAGAACTTCTCTGTGGCTTACCAGGAGCAGTGGGAGGACCTGACCTCCCTCACCTTCGGCGTCCAGGAGCTTAACCTGACTGGCTCCTTCTGGAACAACTCTGCTGCCATGTAAGGGTGCACAGGCAGGGGAGAAGCTTGGCTTCGAGTGATGGTCCCACCCCATGGGTCAGGGGCGGTGGGGATGGTGTGCTCTTGCAGGGGAGGTCATTGTGGCACGTGAAATGTCAGGGGTAGGGGAGCTGCTCAGACTTCTGCCTTCCCCACGCTTTCTGCATACCTCATGGTCACCAGGGAGCTTGGCACCTCCCCCAGAGCAGAACCGTGTGGACCGAACATCAGTCATTACCAGGCCGGTGCCCGCTCTCAGGCTCCTCTGCCCGTGTGGCCCCATTTGCTGTCAGGCCCCAAACCCAACCCAGGCAGCTCAGCAGGCCACACATGTACCTGAAAGAAGAACCAGTGGCCTCTGAGTCCTGAGCTGGAGCTGGGGGGTCTGGCTTGAAGTTCATGGCTGAGTTGCGGTGCACCTGGGGAAACATTCTGCCCTGGGGCAGCCTAGGTAGGGCGGACCCCAGAAACTCAGTTCTTGAAGGCAGTCAAGGCCCTTCCCAGAGCCTGACCACCCACCTTTTCCTCCAACCCCACAGACTGGCGCTGACCTACGAGCAACTGTTTGGTACCACGGTGACTTTCAAGTGAGTGCTGGGGACAGCCACCCGGGGCAGGCTGGCCCGTGGCTCCAGTTTCCCTCCCAGGCCTGACTGCCTCTGCTGTCCGCCGCCAGGTTCATTTTGGCTAACAGCTTCTACTCCGTGTCTGCCCGGCACTGGTTCACCATGGAGCGCCTTGAGATCCATAGCAACGGCTCTGTCACCTACTTCAATGCCTCCCAGGTCACGGGGCCCAGCATCTACTCTTTCCACTGTCAGTATGTTGTCAGTGGCACCAAGAATGACAATCTCCTCGTGCCCCACTCGCAGCCCTCTGCCTGGCAGGTGGTCCTTCGGGACTTTCAGGTACGTGGGTAGAGGGCGGAGAGAAGCCAGAAGTTTCCCTGTTCCCTCAGGCCCCCTGGCCCCAGGAGACTCGGAAGATCTGCCACCTGGGGTCCCAGCCCCTGCCTGGAGCCACGAGTCCCCCCTGACTTGTGTCGCGTCTGGCCCCAGATCCAGGCCTTCAATGTGACGGGCGAGCGTTTCTCCTATGCCAGCGACTGCGCCGGCTTCTTCTCCCCCGGCATCTGGATGGGGCTGCTCACCTCGCTTTTCCTGCTCTTCATCTTCACCTACGGCCTGCACATGATCCTCAGCCTCAAGACCATGGACCGCTTTGACGATCACAAGGGCCCTGCCATCTCTCTGACCCAGATCGTGTGACCCCTGTGCTGCTGGGGGCTGAGGGCCATGGTCGTGTCCCGGTCGCCCCTGTTCCACCTCTGGTCCCCCTGGACTGGAGGGCTGCAGGCTGGCCTCCCCTCTTGCTCCATAGCATGAAGCCCAAGCTCCCCTCTTCTCTTCTACCCCTAGGGGCCCAACAAGATGTACATACTCTGCATAGATTCAGTCATGGGAGGCGAGGCACACATTCTAGGGACCCCTCCTTCCCCTTTCTCCTTATTTATTCTTCTCTCCACTACCCCCCTTGCTGTTGATAGTGCTTTTGTGTCGCAAATGCCCTTTCCTGAGCTTTCCATGGCTCCCTGCAGCAGCCTGTCAGTTTTGCTGGGGCTGGAAGTACTATTTATGTGTCCTGCCTGGCTGTCATTATTTGATCATTTTTTTTTTTGGTGGTGATGTGCTAAAAGGAAGCAGTACCATAGGGTTTGTTTCTGTGGTCTGAGGAGGGCACCTCCATGTCAGGTGGGTTGGGGGTGAGCGCGGGATTTCTGGCATTTTGCCACCAGGAGTGCCCGGAGGAGTCTGGGGCACTCGTTTCCTTCCTAATAAATAAAAACGGGCCATCGTGCATTGGACCTCCGCTTCCTCTTTTCTCCATGGGCGGAAGGAACTCTTGAGATGCTCGAGGACGAGACGGATGCAGCTGAGCCCACCCAGGGATGTAGAGACCTCGCGGGGAGGAGGGGGAAAGCGGGGGGGGGGGTAGGGCCCCGCTGTGCCAGCATCTCCAGAGGTGGTGGGAGAGGTTTTGAGGCTTTTGCCAGCTCGGCCCAGAACGGCTCAGCAGGAAGGGGGGCTCCGGGCGGTGTTGATGAGAGGAAGGGGAGAAGCTGAGTCACCGTTATGTGCAGCTCCTGGAGGGAGAGGCCGCCATTACAAAGGCTACTCGGCCCTTCCCGGGAAGCGGAAGCCTGCAGAGAGGGCGGCAGGGCGCGGT